AAGGAAAACAATATTTAAACAAGGAACAAAAAAATGATAACATAACAGCAGTAGTGCAGTACCACAGTTTTGAGGGCAATGTCAACTAAAGTATATTTTATTCTAAGGAAATAAACCAAATGAGAGGGAAAGAATAAAAGAGGCAATGGAAGATAAACTGATAATTGAATTTAGGATATTACAATAGTTTAAATAAACCCACATGATGACTTTTAATAGGACTTTTCTGCTAAAGATAAAATTCTATATAGAAATAGAGATTACAAAGATTCCTAAGACTTATTTTTTCTTATCATAAAAGACTCCTAAACAAACAAGACTTCTACATTGTTGATTCTAACAAAATTCACAAATGAAACACACACTGATATCTAAAGAAGGGAGTTTCTCAGATATGCCAAGAGGAATGAAGATAGGAACATAACAGAAGAAAACCTGCAGGTCGCCAAAGAAAAGTGCAATCTGAAATGCATTTGCAAATTTCGCAAACTGAATATAATGTTGTGTTAAGGATTCTGCTAGATTTCATCAGCAATATGAGAAGGAAAAAAGTCACATAGGTAATCATTGGGTTATGGATTCTAGAAAGTAAAGTTGGATTAGCAAGACATGTATGCGTAAACCGTGATCAATGATCTGAAAAAGGTTTGGCTAACAATAGTTAATGAAGCACTGGTTATACAAAATTACCGGTACCAAGAGAATAAAACATAATATCTTATCAAACTAATTAAATGCTCACCTCACATACTCATGGCCCCATGAACCAAAGTCGCCTTATGAACCCAACAATTTGTACTTTAAACTCTCCTATATGATTGTCAAATAAAAGAAATGATTGATCATTGGGAACAAAAAGCAGGAGACAAATGAGTTAATAATATAATCATCTCAATTTTGATACAGAACATGAAAACTATAAATTTACAGGGGAAATGGCTAATGATGGACCTACAATTATATTTAAAGTAAAAAAAATTATTACAAGGAGAAGAAAAAATAAGGAACTGGAAAGTGGAAAGCACAATGTTAGTGAGGAGAAGAACAAAACCAATTTAATCTCAAAAGAAATTTTTCTAGTTTATCCGGTGCAAGTAGAATTCACCATTCGACGACTACTTGCATAGTTTTTTTAATAATGCTTGTTGAGTGTATTTGTGCAAGGGATGATATCGATTTGAGAGTTTTTACCCAAAATAAAGTATAAGAAGTAAAAGTGTCCTTTTATGCTCTTTCATTGCACTGAATGATAACTACCATAAATATGATTATGGTTCTTTGTGTATCCCATATGTTAAAGTTACCAAATCAACACTTATCATGGTTTTGAACAATCTAATCTAATATTAAAGGAGCCAATCACAAAGCTTCTGACCTTAATGACATAACTAATTTTTTTATAACTTATAGCTCAAACATGGAAGACAAGGTTTTTTGTTTTCCTTAACCTTTTTAAAATATCTAGATGTAAACAAGAATGTCTATTTCATATGCAATCATTTCTCTTTCTTTAAAAGGGGATGGGAAAATATGCAATCAAGTTGTACTTGTACCACAATGAAATTATTTGACATATACATTACATCTAAAGATAAGTCTTGAATAATAGAAACCTCATTCTCAACCTATATCCCATAAAAAACAGGGGGGTCACTGTCTCACATAAAACAAATATAGAGCACTAATGTTTCAAATACATACAATTATTTCAAAAGGAGCAATACGCAAACCTCATTAAACCTGTAAACTCTTAAGTCTTAGGTAGTACCTATAACCTCTCCAATTCCCTAAAGGAATAAGAAACTGAATTTCATGCACATATTACCAAAGAAGAAGAAAAAAGGAAACATAAACAGTAAAACACGAGAAAATAAACTATAAATTTTGAGAATCCTAATAGATGTAGTACCGAAATCAGTGAATCTCCTCTTGGGTGCATGAAGTCAGCATATTCAGCCCCTGATTATGTCTTATGAAGCTACAACACCAATGGCCTCCATGTAACAATCCCTTAAAATGCAAGAAAAATTATGAGAATCCAACGAATAATTTTAATTTCCCCTTTTTTAAATCAATTTTACAAACCCCTTTTTTAATTTTAGAAACCCAGCTTCTTATTTTTAGCATGAAGAAAAATCTTGAGAAAAAAAAGAAAGGCAAAGGGGAAAGGGAACTTACAGAAGAACATAATGAACAATGTCTTCAGAGCTACCATTTGATTCCAGCAACCCAACTTGAAAACGAGAGAAGGTAAATTGCAATGCGACGGAGGTCTATCTCAGAGAGATATAGAAAAGGTAAGTCAGAGAGAGAAGACCGTGAATGGAGAGAAGGCAGAGCTATTTCGGACGTTGTCCCGAAGGGTAAAAAAGATTTATGAAGGGAAGAAGAATGTGGGACAAAACTCATTTGAGGACATAATGAGATTTTTATTAGGGTTTCAGCGTGTAAATTGGGATAATGCGGGTACATGGTATTAGCGGCGTTTTTTTTTTAAAAAAAAGCCATTATATATCAGTTTATAGCGGCGCTTGTTATACAAACGCCACTAAAGTCCGAGTATTTAGTTGCGCTTGTGCTTAAAACGCCACTAAAGTATGAGTTTCTAATGGCGTTTGTACAAAAAAGCTACTAAAGTTTAGTATTTTGCGGCGTTTTATAACAAACACCACTATTGATAAACCCTATTATGGCATTTGTCTAAAAACACATCTAAAGTACTCTTTATCACGACGTTTGTTGGAAAAATAACACTATAAACGAACCCTATTGCGACATTTATGCTAAAAACGCCTCTAAAGTTTCATTTTTTGGCGTTTGGATTGTAAACGTCGCTATATGTTTAAATTTTATGGCGTTTACTCTCCAAACGCCGCTAAAAATGTTACTACAGAACGGTTTTGTTATAGTGTACGTATTTATGGGATGCATGGGATGTCAGAGTTATGATTCTGCTCAGTCTGCTTCTACAAGTCGTTCTCTTCATACTTGGCAACCATCGTAAATATACGGTTAAACCTTGGGTCGGAATTCTACTTTGGCTTGCATACCAAAGTGTTGATTGGGTGGCCATTGTTGCACTAGGGAAACTCTCTTCTTCTTGCTCATATGAATCTTCTGTGGGCAACACTTGGGTGGTCCTGATACCATTACTGCCTATTCCATGGAAGAGACATTTTCTTGGGGGTAGTTGTCCAAGTAGCACTAGCAATTTATGTTATTGTTTTGTCTTTGACTACATCTTGGCTCTCACTCTTGAACTTCCCGCCCTTATTGGTGGGAGTTGTAAAATATTCAGAGAGGACTCGGTGTCTTTATTTGGCTAGTAGTAAAGATTCGAGACAAGAAGCCCCCTTATTTGATTACAAAATTCGTGAAAACATCAGGGAAACCACTCAAATGGATGTACAAAATGTAGTTCTGGCTTACCTATGGTTTGCATTAATAAGACAAGACATAAGAAATGTCTTGTCTGCAACGGGAAATTCAAGATAATCAGAGGCAAAGATAAAACACACTCTATATGAACTTTTCCCTAATGCTTTACTGTTACAAGACACTCTAGACCATAATGAGTTTGACAAGGTAGTAATTCAGTCGGGGTTTATGTTTGACATGTTGTACACCAAATCAGCCATCATTTTCAGCAAGTTGGGATGCATTTTCAGCCATCGTTTAATCAGTACTGGAACTTCACCTCAGCAATACCGATCAAAGGTAGACACCTGCATTATTGGAGTATTGCTGGCTGGAGTTGTTGCTTTTGAATTCTATGGGTTGTTTTTTATTCTTTCTTCGGATTGGTTTGTGGTCCTGGGAATCAGGTACAACCAGAGTCGTTGGTTGCAAGGAATCTTCCAGTGGTCATTGTTAAAGCATGGGGAAAAGAAAAGGTGGTCAGATAGTATGAGACAATTTAATCTTTTAAGATACTGCAAGAGTTTCAGAAAAGAGACCAAAATCTTACAAATGATTGGCATTGATGAATTGATGCACAAGTATTGGAACACGAGTTTTACATGCATCCTTGTCCTTAAAGAAACCTGAGAGTTTTACTGCTTGCATAGAGTTTTTAATGAAGGGAGACAGAAACCCACTATTCTATAGAGTGGAAATGGTACTTCGAAAGTACCAATGCAAAGATATGATGGTTACTGACTCGTTGTCGATGGAGTTGAGTGCAACCATAATCATCTGGCACATTGCAACAGACATTTGTTATGATTGGTGGACCACTAGAGATGATGAAAGAGTTATTATATGCAAAGTAATATCTGATTATATGATGTATCTTGTAGCAAAGAAACCTTCAATGATTGCTGAGGATGACAACTTCTGGTTTGATTCCTTGAGTGGAAAACTATTCTGCTGAAAGATGAGGACACAAATTATCGACAGTTATATGAGAAAATTTCACTGCAAGGATTCCGGAATTCTGCAACCGAAGTAATTTTAGAATATGCTGTCAAAATCGCGGACGTTTTAAGCTCAAAGGGGACAAAACAATGGGACATAATGAGGTCAGTCTGGTTAGAGATGATGCACTATGCAGCAACGCGTTGTCCCCATCTCTCTCATCTTCAAGAGCCCGGTCAAGGTGGTGAAATCCTCTCCCTGTATTGGTTTATAACATCTTACGACATGCGTGGGCCAGAGTAGAGGCACACGTTAGAGGTGGCTAGATTGTACAGCCCATGGTGTATTTTCTTCTACGATTGAATCCCAATAAATTATGTATTTTTATTTTACATTGATCATTCATGCTTTATAAAATTGAAATCATTCAGTTAAATTAAGATTCGGTCTAGGCTTTCGAAGGACCGTTCCAACAGAACCCAACCATGGTTCAGTCATTCACCACCATCATAGAGGCTTTCCGCCCCCACATCAACCGAGGTGATCTTGCAAGAGCCACCGGCTCCCATAATTTCAGTAAATTTCAAGCACCAAACCTCGAAGTCTCTTTGTTTTAAGTCCACACCCTCATAATGATGCATAAGTTAGTATCTTCTCCTAGGACTCCTGGAGCGATGTGTCCGTCCAGATCTGCAAAAGTTACAAGATATAAAGGGTATCGTTAGATTCAACTACTGCACTTATCTTGAACAATAGAAAAGGCGATAACAGATGCCAATCAGATAAAAGCTTCAATTTCCCAGCAATATAACTATGGGTTTACAACTGAATTGGCAATAACTTTTTCTAAAATAAACTGGAACGTAAGCATGTATGGAAAAGAACACCACCATCAAGCATACTTTTTTTCTTCATAAAGTTGGCGTGTCTTTTAAATCAGGTTAAGCTTTTAGGCTTAAATCTCAATTTTGCATCAGGCAACCAGGTTAGCCCTTCAGGTTCATCTGAGGCCCAAGCCATTCAAATTTGGATTGCTTCAGTTCGAGTAATAAAAAGTTGTAAATTTAAGTACAGTCGAATTGCAGGAATACATCATTCTTTCTTCACTTACAATCGACATAATTAACAGATCTAAATCAAAATTCAAAAGCATACATAAATAGAGACAAACCTTGTATTTTTTCTTTTGAAGACTCCGGTACTAGGTCCATTGCTGAGGGCCCAATCAACTTTGATGGTTTGTGTGAGTAGTTCTGCTCCATCCATGGTAGATATGGCATTCTTTGCTTCTTCAAACTTTTCATATTCAATCAGAGCATATCCCTGAAAGGAGGAAACACTTATTAATTGTACTAGAACGCAAATAATTGGTCCTAAGAAAACACTTATCAAGATTTAAATGCAAATTCTTGATCTCACGAAATTCACCAAATGCATTGTGCAAATCATCCTCTTGGCCTTCCTCATGTACACCACTGACCAAAATAATCCATCCTTCAATAGCTGCACATTTATTGACGAGAAGTACTTTTTTAAAAAAAGAGTTCAAAAACATATAGGAAAATCTTAATTCGTTATTGGACAAAATTACTTTTATCAACCGTACTCTACAAGTTGTGTTATATTGACATTGTGTAGGAAAATTAGGGGTGTTCACACAGAGGTCACAAACCATCAAATTAGCAGGACAGACTCAAGGTTCGGTTCAGCGCAGTATAATACGTTTAATGCACTCAATTGGTGATTGAAACATGGCCAAACAGGTAATAGCAATCCTTGAAGAAGAGTATGCGGATTCAAACCTGTTCAACAATGAAATCAGAATATTTTTCCTTTTCTTTCACATTACTTATTGTCCTTGACAGAAGGCAATTCCAAATAACCCCCCACATGATGTTCCCACAAAATTCCGAGGACAGGAAAATAGGATCAATCCCCATCTGTTCTTTTGCTAATGGAACAAAGTGAACCATCAGAATCAGCCAAGAATATATATATACACATAATTTCAACAAAACGTCCTCTGAAATCAAGATAAAACTTCTATAAGTGCACAAAGAAACAGATCTAAAACCTGAATGAAAATTACATATGTGATGCATATACCATGAAGATGAAGAAATCCATGAGCCTCTGCCATTAAATTTGATCTAGTCTTGTAAATGACCTGAACATATTATACCTCTACACTTACAATTTCTAGTGAGAAGGGTAGTAAAGATGTTCCAACGACCCGCAAAACAACTCGTTTTGATATATACCCTTGAATAACCAGATATAGAATGAGTTGAAGATTAAGATATCTTATCAGGGAAATTTATTCGCTAAGGTTGTTAGTCTTTTAAACTATTTACTCATGAAAATGTTTTGCTAGTAGCAACCGTCATCAAATCAAGAACGTGAGACAAATTAACGCTGTTCTGAATGTTTTCAATATTAACATAATCAAATTACCAAACCTCCAAGCTCATTTCAACCAAACACGTATTAAAACCATTGAGAAATTTTCATGTCAATTTCGTAATTATCTTGTCTTCTAGGCCACAGATAAATAAAAAAAGAGAAAATAACCTCAGTGACCGAAAATGCCGTATAATATATGATTTTAACCAACTTTTTTTGGATTTGCCAAAATGACGAACAAATTCGCAACGCGAACTCCAATTTCGCAACTCGAATATGTAAATCGCAACACAGAAGTCAAAATCGCAACACAAAAGTCAAAATTCGCAACGCGAATTTGTAAATCACAACACAGAAGTCAAATTCGCAACGCGATAGGCAAATTCGCAACACAAAAGTCAAATTCGCAATGCGATAGTCAAATTCGCAATGCGAAAGTCAAATTCGCAACGCGAAACACAATATTAATTTCGTAACACAAATGTAAACAGTATTATCGCAAATCATAACCTAAAACCCTAAATCACAACTCAATCCCATCTCCATCTCTCACTCTCTACAGCGACATCCGTCCCCATCTCCGGCGAAATCCGTCTTTCTCCATCTCTCAGAGCAACCCTCACAACCATTTACGGTCAGAAATGGAAAATCAACCACCGAGGGTTAGTTTTTTAATCTCTTATTTTTATTTTTAACTTTTTGTATTATTATTAGTTTTTTCTTATATTGATGATAAATTTACTGGTAATTTCAATATATATAAAGATTAACCATTTCACTGAGATTGTTTAGTAAATTCATTCGGTTGCTGCCAATACTGCTAAACTGTTTAGTCTTTAACCTTATGAAGTTAGTATTTGTCTTTGTTTTTGTCTTTTTGTTGAAGAAATGCAATTAATTCAAGTTTCAATTTGCAGAAGAATAGTTTTTGAAACTTAAATTCGCAACACGAAAATGAAAATCGCAACAGCAAAATCGCAAAGCGATTTTAGTTTCGCGTCGCGATTTTTATTTTCGCGTTGCAAATTTAAGTTTCAGAAACTACTCTTATTCTGCAAATTGAAACTTGAATGAATTGCATTACTTCAACAAAAAGACAAAACAAAGACAAATACTAACTTCACAGTGTTGTTAATTTAAGTTTCAAGAATAAACTACTACTCTTTATGTTGTCCTTGAACCTGCACTAAACCTATATGTTATCCTTTTAAATGTTTATATAAGTGCTTACTTCTGGAATGTTATTTGATGCATTTTGTGAATTATGATGGAATAATGACAGCATGTGAATACCGTGCTAGTTTGAAACATATTTGGCTTTGTTTTCACTGTTTAATATCATGTCTGTTTATAGTGTATAATTTGTAGTTTTTGGTATATCTAACTTGGTATGTTTATTGTTTTTGTACAAATTTTTTTCGGCTGCATTGACCTTAAGGAATAAATTAAGCCTAGGCACTAAAATTGTGTCGACGCTTACACCTATACAAAGAAAATTGTTTGATGATATTTGTTTCAGGCCATGGCTGAAAGTACAACATACGGGTGGAGATGCTATGTTGACACATTTGTTTCTTCAGACCATGGCTAACGATCTACCCGAGAGGATATAATGTGGTGATAAAGAGATATGGTTTCATTTTCCTCCGGCACCGGCATATACTTGTTTTGGGCGGGAGGAGTTTTGCTTAATCACTAGTCTACGCTTCGGACACGATGAAGTAACCCGGTACACTAGTCATATCTCCCGCCCATCATGGTTATCTCAGGTTTTTCTTGAGCTGGCAAAGTCGAAGCCGAGTTTACACGTCGACGACTTTAAGAGATTATTTGTTAAAGATGGTTTTACTCGGATGAATGACCTTGATGTTGTCCGAGTATGCCATTTATTACTTTTGCATGTCGACTTTTTAGGAAAAGAGGGCAGACAACCTATCTCTGAGGACCTAATATTATTGGTAGAGGACCTAAATGCATGAAAACTATTTCCGTGGAGTTCATATCTATGGAAAGCTACTTGGAAGAAGTTGTCATATGCCTTTGAGGACCGAAAAAGTTTGTGGGGTGATGGTTCTAAATACACTTTGACAGGCTTTACTTGGGCCTTTAAGGTAAAAATTTCTATATAATGTTTCCAAAATTATAATTAATTATTTAACAACTACTAATGTTTGTGTATTATATTGTTTTGTAGGTTTGAATATTTGAGGCTTTCCCTAGCATGCAGACATATGCGATAAAAAGATCAAATGATATTTCTAGGGCTATTACCTGGAAGAGGATCCTCATGTTGGATTGGGAAGAGTTGCTCCCATATACGACGATGAATGATGTAAGTTAACACACAAATAATACCATATATAAACAAGTTATTACTAGTACAAGTTTAACTTTGTTTGAGCTTTTATATTGTTAGGAGGCCAACTATCCATTACAGAGGGTGACACCCACAGAGGCTGGGCTTGCCACTGATTGGTGGCAAGCTAGTAAGCAGTTTTTTGATGAGACGGATGATGAGCACCCCCCACTTCGAGAGCCATCACCTGATCAGGCCGATTCTACAGCTCGACACCCGGAGCCATCACCTGATCTAGCCTCTTCTCCACCTCTACCATCACCTATTCCATCACATCATCGAGCCTCTTATCCACCATCACCTCATGATAGACGACCGGCAAAGAGGCCACGACATTTATCTCACTGTTCTCCACCTCCACGGGATGAGTTAGGGGAGTTACGTGATGAGGTCGGTGCTTTGTGTCATGAGGTTGGTACTTTACGTGAAGATAATGGTGCATGGCGTGATGAGGTTCGGTCTTTACGTGGTGAGGTGGATTTTTTACGCGATGATAATGGTGCGCTACGTGGTGAGGTATCTACTTTACGTGATGAGGTTGTCGCTCTACGCGAGATTATTTCATCATTGTAGAATGAGGTTCATACTCTACACAATGAGGTAAATTTGTTTAATACTATACTAAAAATGCAAATAACCTTTTTTCGGTATTATTTATTTATTTATTTACTGATTTATGTATTAATTTATTTTCAGCGGCCCGATAAGGTAGATGCTTTACGTCGGGTTTTTCTTGTACGACGGGGTTCACGCATCAGACGTCGTGCACATGCCATTACATCTCCGTTCACCCCACTAGTGCCAAGACTCCATAAGAAGAATCCCAATGCACCTATCATCATTCAAGAGGCACCTCTTATCATTCAAGAGGCCCCTCCTATCGTTCAAAAGGCCCCTCTCATCATCGAAGAAGCCTCTCCCACCGTTCAAGAGGCCACTGTCATCATTCAAGAGGTCTCGCCCGCCGTTCAAGAGCATGATTCACATGGCGTCATATGTCGACATATTGATAAACCCCCTCCCGTGCCCGATATGATGGATGTGAGTTGGCTTTCGTATGTGTTACTAGCCAGTACCATTCCTCAGCAGGAGAGGGAAATACTACCGGACACAATTACGGATAATATCCTTTGGGCTAAGACCGCAGTTGATTTTTATCTACATGAGCGGAGCAAGGGGTGTTATTCTGACCTATGCCAACTCAAAGATAATGGCTATCTCGAAGGGGTGTTAAGTCTTATATTCTTCTTATATTGCATTGTCATTAATTTTTTTTTTAAATTATTAATAAATTCACTAATATATATATATTTTTTATAAAACAACATATTGATGCTAGTGTCACGTCTTCTAATAATAAGGAAATTGAGGAAAATAAGAAATACTCGATGGACTATTATGCCGACGTCTTTTCACGTAGCTCACTTGAAGGATCCAAGAGATGCTTCATATACGTTGGGTAATGGAAAAGCTAAACTTTATTCTGCGTGGTGGGAAGTCGATAAGGTTAGTATTTATTTTTTAAATATTTTAAAGGTTTTCATAAATTTTATTTGATGTGCGCAATTATTTATGATTGCAGGTGTTTATCCCTATTTTGGAATGTCGTCATTGGTTTCTCGTCGAGCTTCAGCTCCCATCCCTGAAGACAATGATATATGACAGCATGTTGAATTACATACCATTGTCTGATTTGAGAGATATTATTTGTAAGGGATGGAGCACTCATTTGGAGAAATACTTGGACGCGATTGATTATTGGACTAATTCTGGAAACAAGAAGCTAAAAAAGTTCAAAGTTACAATGATCAGAGACGATACCACGCCACAACAAACGGAGGGAGCCAGAGGGAATTGCGGTCCTCTTGTATGCATGTGCTTGGAGCGTTTGACGACAGGAAGTAAACACCTTCTACCTCCCACGGATAGAGATAGAGGTGCAATAGGCTTATGGTTCAGCATTTTATGGCTCGAGCGATATATGCGAGATGTTGCCTACCTGCATCCGCGTGCTGAAAGTTTGCATAAACAATTGGTAAGTTTGAGCAAGTGTTGTTAACATATATACTCTTTGTTGGTTTGAAAATGTTTGGTTAAGTACCTAGAATTCAATAATTTGTTGTTTGTTGGTTTTAAATGCGTAGAAAGTGTTGTTTGAGCAAATGTTTGGTTTCTGCAGGTTATTTCTGACGTGAGCTGCGTGAAATTGATGTATTTGTGCATAAACAACAGTATGGGGTACACTTTTTTTGCTTGTTTAATTGAATTTTACATTGAAAGTTGATTTGTTTAATTTGATGTGTAAATAAGAATTATTTTTTTGCTTGTTTAATTGATTTGTTGTTTTAAATTCAATCTGCATTATGTTGAAGGCAAAAAAGACCTGTTGAAGGTACAAATTCGCAACGAGAAAGGTAAATTCGCAACGCGAAAGTCAAACTCGCAACGCGAAAGTCAAACTCGCAACGCGAAAGTCAAACTTGCAACGCGAAAGTCAAACTCGCGTTGCGAATTTGACTTTCGCGTTGATCGCAACATACAACATTAAGTTATATACAACATCAACCATATTCCAAGCTATAAATACAAGCTAAGGACACTTGAAGAAGCAAGAGAACAACTATCCAAGCAAGAGAACACAAGAGAAAATTCCAACATGATAACAACTGAACAGATCATAGTAATGTTCAAACTCAAGTTACTAATGAATGTCTAACTGAAAATGTATGCATTCACACATAAAATACACATAATACAACGTTTGTATTTAAAAATCACCTAAGTTAATAAGTCCCAAAAGGTGAAGCCGGTTGTGATTGGGATTTTTATTTCCTTTTGATTGACATCGTATGAGCTTTGGATTTTGACGAGGATCAATTTTTTGGTAGAGGAAAAGATGATTGTAATGGCACTGGTGATCCACAGGTCAACCTTGTATGACCACTTTCCTTGCACCGACTACATGTCGACATCCTCTTCTCTTCATCCTTAGACGGTATATGATCGTGATTTTTTGGTCGACCAGGTAGCCTGTTGTCCATGACTGGTGGCAAAACTGTTTGTAAGTCATCTGGTATGTCCCACTCAGAAGGATGTGGACATGCGTAGACAATCTTGGCAAAAGTCTGTCGATATACTTATGTAGTGTAGCAATCCATAGCGTATGTGCTTGAATCATCTTGGTTTAGATGAATAGCAACTTTTATAACATGACCACACGGATAACCAGATGTTTGTCATTTCTTACAACTACACGTCTTTGCATTTAGATTGACAAGCCCATTTAAGTTATTATCCAATACTTCAAACAAAGTGTTTGAACATGGTTCAACTCTCCATGACATTGACTTCACAACACATTTCGTTATCTTTTTTTTAGTCCATGGTGTAACACGATGTTCCAATGTTCTTGTAAATTTAAATAAATAATACTTAGTAAAATATATGATAAGTTATGAATTTAAAGAAATAATACATGCATGGTTTCTTTTCTTGTGGTACCACTGTTGAATAGAGGCTCGAAAAAACTCCATTAACATAGTAATGGGTAATTTTCGGGAATGATGACTTAGAGCGTTGATTGATTCTGTACTATTAGACGTCATGAAACCATATCTTGCTCCAAGTTGATGAACTATTGACCATCTTTCAAACCCGACATCTTCTAGTGTTTGAGCACATTGAGGCAAAACACGTCTTAAACAATTTATATGCTTATTAAAATCCACTTCCCGATAAGCTTTTACAACCTTCCAGTCCATTTGTGATTTTTTATACCAGCAGACCTTGATTTTAGATTTCTGTACAAATGAACACCACAAAGTCCATGAAAAGCATCTAGGAAACACCTTTTAACAATGATTGTCAATTGAGTTTGCCCTATCAGATATGATTGTCAGATTGCTAATACGACCTATGCAATCCCTAAGATGCCCCATAAACCATGCCCATAAATCAGAGGTTTCAGATTTGCCAACCCCGTAAGCTATTGGCAGTATCCCATTATTAGCATCCATGGCTACTGCTAATAAGTTTACTCCAAGGTATCGACCTTTCAAATGTGCTCCGTCAACTATAATAACTGGGCGCATGCAAGTAATAAACGAACGAATCTACAAAATCATATACACAATAAATATAATCATTTAAATGTGAAATGCATGCAACTAACAAAAATGAGTCAACAAAATTATAATTATTTACTAACCGCAGCACCAATGGCGATAAACAACAACTCAAAGCATCCATCTCTATCTGTTTTGATATGAGTTACCGACCCAGGATTCTTCAGCTTTAAATTGTGACAATAAGCCGTCAGTTGGGCAAACGAATGCTTCTGGCGACCCGCTCAACAATTCCAAGGCAAAACATTTGTCTCTCCAAGCTTGAGAATATGAGATACTAATCTTGAACTGAGCATTCATGTCAGTCATATTTTCATGTCTCTGATATACCCTTCCATTCAAAAACATTAACTCAGCCAGAAAACCACCCAACACCTTTTTGTTTGCCTATCTATGGTGAGGAAAAACTTGGGTTCTTGAACATGTATATTTATCAATAAAAGTCCTAACTTGAAACATTTCACAATCTTGTATCCTCTTTGCAATCATACGCCACGTACAGTTTTTGTCAATCATATACCTTGTTTCGAAACGATCTTTGCTTGATTTGTTAACTTTTAGTTGATAGTCATCTTCCACACATTTCGTATACAAAGATATCTTCAAGTCTTCCTTTGTATCAAAACAATCATCTTTCTTGATACGAATAACTTTTGTGTAACAATCAACTGCTATCTTTACCAACTCTTCTTCCGGTATCTGAAGTAATTCTGGCATATTCCAGTTATAATCCCGTTGTATTTTCTTCTTTTTCTTTTCTTCGGGGACTTCTTTTTCTTCTTCTTCTTCTTCAGGGTTATATTAATTACAGAATGGATGTTCAACATGTTCATTCACAGTCATAACTTCTTCCTCATTATCATCAACAACATCTTCCTCGGCATCGGCTGTTTCATCATCAAAATTCGGGTATTGACCAATATCAAAATCATTACATGCAGGGTCTGTTTCTTTTTTCATCACATCATCAAAATCCGAGTATTGACCAAGATCAAAGTTCGTGTATTGACCAAGATCAAATTTCGAATACTGACTAGTACTCACAATTTTTTCAGTTGGCTCATAATCGTCTAACTGGTTAATACGAAAACCGAAATTTGGTGCTGAAAGTTGATTGGGATTTGGATTAAGAAAAGGTTGTGGGTGTTGAGATTGTGTTTGGTATTGGAAATGTGGTGAAACAAAATTTTCTTGGTGATGAAATTGTGGTGGAACCATTAAATTTTGAGGTTGATAACAACGTTGTACATTGTGAGCACCATAAACTGGGGTTGAAGAACTTAGTTGATTACTACCCGCTACTGACCCAACTTCATTACTTCTAGGTTCAACAACATACAATGTAACATCATCTTCTTGCGAAACACTAATGTAAGCAATGAATCGTTCAACATCTTCATTGTCGGTTAACAAATAAACTTTACCTTTTCTCTAATAAGATAGCCTAAATCCACTTAGAGGCTCTAAATTCAATTTCTTTGCAACACGTAATATTAGAGTTTCATAATTTAACTTTTTTAATGACAGTTTTAGTTGAAGATTCATGGGTAAAGGCACATATTGTAAAACACCATGAACATTCTCCCATGACCCTCCAAAACACAAATCTATCCAAACATGATCAACATTAGATGATTTCATTCTACAAATTGTAAATTAATTTACTAAACAAACGAGCTATAAACTAGATATCATCATTAACTTAGAGAAAAACATACCTTTATTAAGTTGATAGTTGATAATTTGGGAGAGAAACCATTAAAAAATTATATAGAAATAAAATTATGTAAAAAAAATTAGAGATGGGAAAGGATGTCGTTGGATATAGGAACGGATGTCACCGGAGAGAGTGATACATGGATATGGAATGAGTTGCGATTTTGGGATTTAGGTTATGAGTTACTGCTGCTGTGTTGTTATACACCCAAAACATTTGTGTTGCGAAACTAAAACCTGTTGCGAAATTAAATTCGTGTTGCGAATTCGAAAATCTAGTTGCGAATTTGAAATTCAGTTGTGAATTTGAAATTCAGTTGCGAATTTGAAATTCTGCGTTGCAAATTTGACTTTTGTGTTGAGAATTTGACTATCGCGTTGCGAATTTGACTTATGTGTTGCGATTTACAAATTCATGTTGCAAATTTGACTATCGCGTTGCGAATTTGACTTTTGTGTTGCGAATTTCACTATTGCGTTGCGAATTTGACTTCTGTGTTGCAAAATTAAAAATTGGGTTGCAAAATTGGAGTTCGCGTTGCGAATTTGTTTGTCATTTTGGCAAATCTAAAAATTTTTTTGGTTAAAATCGTATATTATAAGGCATTTTCGGTCACTGAGGTTATTTTCTCATAAAAAAAACCCAAGATAAAACAAAAGGAAAAAACAAATATATAAACGACAAGGGAAAAATAAAATTAGGGTTTATAGGTAGGACTAACATCTCTGTGGACCAAGGCCATCATCAGTGCCTAGGGACTCGAAGTCGCAGGAGGCGAGACGGGACTGGCGGGAGACATCTTCATCACGGAAGCCACGTCCCTTGGTCTTCTTAGGGCCAGAAATAGAGGTGGAAGCATCGCCAGTGACGGCGAACTTGAGCTTAGGCATGGCGAATTGAGGGGACGCATCGCCGGCGGCGTCCTCGTCCATGAGGTCGTTGTCCTCCGGCTCGAAATCCACTGCTTCCACGTCAGCACTCGCCCTCACCGCGATCTGAACGTTTATTTACTTTTAGAATATCAAAAACAAAATATAGTAGTACTCCGATTCAAAATTCGTCAGTTTGCTCTGGGAACTAATAGGAAAAGTAAGATTAAGCTTAGCAGATTGAGATTCTGAAACTAAACCTGGATGGGCAAGAATTCGAGTTTTATTCATAAAATGGCCATGTTAGTCTTGGACCGATATGATCTTTGTATAGTTATTCCCAGGTAACCCTGGTTTTTACCACCTAGACTCATAAGCTATTTGAATTCAACTCGAATTTGATTTAGTAATTATTGAGTTGAATTCGAGCTAATTTGAGTTATCAATCGATTCGATATTAAGTATCGAAATATCCGACTTGCGAGTCTAATTGAGCTTTTCATAAAAGCAATGTCATGGTGAGATGTAATATTAACTATATCATTAAGTGAAAAAATAATTTAAAATGTGTGAGCTCTACAATACATAATATTGGCATTCTCTATCCAATCCATAAATCAATGGCCTTCTGAATGCTTTCTTCAACAAAATCTTTACACAATCGTGGGATACGCCAAGTAATTAAGAGGGGTTTACTTTCACTTTCATGCAACTTCGAAGTCGAATTCCGGTCTCCCGAAGCATTGTTAATGGAGCGGAAAACCTGACAGACATTGCATAGTTGGAAGGTAAATAGACCAATATCTGTACTGAAGTCTTGGCGCACACAGTCTATTCCAGGATTTCAGATGGCCAGAGCCACTTCCATGTCGATATCTCCTCGACGCTGCTGAGTTTTCGGATTCCACCATAAAATCCATCTGCCTCGTTTCCCTCCTCTCGATGTTCTTTCCGGTTGACCGTCGTGTGTCACCACCTTGAGCCGGGGGCATACTGATTGAACTCTAACGCCACGGTATCTGTTAGCAGCAGTAAGAAGTTAAAAACCATGTAATAACTCGAACCAAGATTTTTAACACAAACGCATAAGAAAAAGCTTTTATTACAACACCAAGATCTTTTTATTTTGATGTAACAAATGTGCAAATCTATCTGGTTTCTCAAGTTGCAAATGATTACCAAAAAAGACCAATTTTTTTCCTTTATTTTTGATGTAACTTGCACTAGTGTGAAAAGAAGAAGAACATAAATGAGAATTTGCAAGTGTAAAACAACCATTGCAGCCCCACAAGACTTAAAGATTCTAGGTAAGTAAAACAAACAGAGTCCAGTGGAGATATCAAGTCCTTTTAGTGTGGTTGTCCATTAATATTCTGCTGAGACAGAAGTTATCATGATGCCGGTTGAATCTATGATATAATGACATCGATTCGTGTTTAGGGACCAACCCAACAGCACAACCCAGGGCCCATGTATTGGAAAAATGAGGTTTATGAAAACGACAGGATGTCCTCCATGAAAGTTAACTTTTATGAATTGCTATATTACCCAAACTTTTCATTTCCTCAGAAGTATCCGGATTCGACTCATATTCGAACATAGCTAATATGGTAATGTGGATAATGGTTTTCCAAATCTATGAACAAAATCTTCACAAAATTTGATTGTATAGATACTGACTCGCAACATAGCTTACAAGAACAACTTAAGAGAAGATATTTCTACTCTTTAGAGGCAGAAGATGTGTCTTTTGGAATAGCTTAAGAAGCAGATATTATGTGATGATTGCAACAAGTACAAAAGTATGTATAAACACAATTTATTGTTAGATTCTCATTCTCTAGGAAGCCTTATGGGAATATCACAAAGTTTCGTTTGCAAAAAGGAGATGAGATCAAACTTACCACTCTGATGACACCGGCAGTAATTTCTGTTCCCGTCACACGATTCCAAGTGACCGACTACACCATACCACCAACCTACAATATATACACACATAAATGGCAATTTTATGAGGTTATAGAATCAATGATAAAGGATAAGCATTCTGAGATATGCAAAACTAACCATATGGGAATTCTTTGTTTCTTCTCCACTGAATCTCAATGTGATCACCTGGGCGTAGCTCATTCAAACAATTGGAAATATGAAGATCGTGTGGTGAAGTATCGACCGGCGGTACTCTCAGCCGTTTCCGCGAAACGTTGTTCTCGATGGCCACTTCCCTCCTCCCATGTGGAGGGTACCTAAAAATCATCAAACCAAATCTAATATCAATCCACCAGATAAATTTAAGCTTCAAAACCACCATAAAAAATATGTTCATATCCCAAATTACCTTGCTTGGAATGTGTCAGTATGTTGATCATAGCTGAGTTCATCATCATAGCATGATATCATAAATCCAACATGATCATTCTACAAAGAATTTTATAGTCAAATTGGAAAACTAGCACAAACACATGTGGGGAATTTGATTGAAGGTAAAAGAGAATCAAATACCTCTCGGTTATAGACCTGAGCAGGGAACCAAAATCTGTCATTTTCAAGAGCAAGAAACCAAGACACGATCGAATCATCCGGCAAAGAACTCGGCTTACCACAACCATCAACCTTTGGTTTAATCCACCAAGATGGCCTAACAATTGACAAAATCCTCATCAACCCATTTGGCCTCCCTTGTTTCGAATGACTCGAATTCTTTCTCAAAGCAACATGCCATTGCCACTCTCTATTGGCAGCAGGGCCAATGATTCTACCCCATTTGTTCTTTATATATTTTCCCCAGAAATGATCGGCCCTACACCGATCCCTCAAAGAGCTGCAAACACCCGCCATGCTACAAAGACTGGCGGGTGGTAGCCTTTCGATGATACATTCCAAGACCAGTTCTTGTAAGTCTATAACCGAGATGGTACCATTACCTTCTTCAACCTCATCAAAGTTATCAACTTTTGAAGAGAAAGATAGCCTTTTTAGGGATATTTTTGAGGTGATATAGCTAAGAGCAAAACTGTTTTTGATCAACTTGGTGTCAGGTTTGCACCTAAGAATTGTGAGAAAGGATTGCAGAAGAATAAGAAAAGGTAGGTTTACAGAAAACACGCTCTTAATTTTCATTCATAACCCTAGATTTTGCTTACAATTCATATATATATTTTAGACTATTCAATTATTTACTGACATCTGTTATATTCCTTAACAATCCTAACCGATTATCCTTGTTTCCTTCAGTCGTGACTCACCCTTCCTCAGTCCTTGCTTGCTACTGTAACTCAATCCTTTCTTCAATTTTAACTGCATCAGGCAATTTCTCCATTTCCCCTCTTTTATCATTACAAATCCCTAATTCTTTTTTCAAATTCCCAATTTCCTAACTCACAATCCTAATTCTTGACCCCCAATCCCTAATTTCCCCTCTAGGGCCATGACAATACCTCCTCCTACAGTCGATGCTTGTCTCCAAGGATCGAAGTTAGGGAACTGTGACTTTAACACCGTAAAATCTTCCCATGTAGCATTTTCTGGACCTAAATTCACCCACTGAATTAACAACTGAGTTATTGCTTTCTTGTATTTCTTCACCATTCGTTTGTCTAATACCAGAGGAGGGTAAACACGAAGCTGACCATCCACAATGACTTCTGGTGGATCTCGAGCGGTAACTGTCTTGTTCCCAATCTTCTTTTTCAACAAGCTAATATGGAAAATAGGGTGTATTTTTGAGTTATCAGGTAATTGCAATCTGTAGGCCACTGAACCAATTTTTTCTATGATTTTGTAGGGTCCATAATATCTTACAGGCAGCTTCAAATTTTTTCTGAGGTCTACTGATGTTTGCCTATAAGGCTGTAGCTTGAGGTAAACTTCATCACCAACCTGAAACTCTCTTTCACTTCTCTTTTTATCAGCATAGTGTTTCATGCGTTGTTGTGCTCTATCAAGTTGATCCTGTAGGACAGTGTTCATATTATCCCTTTCCTGTAATAGTTATTGTACATCTTCCACTCTAAAGTCTGTTAGCCATGACATAGTAGGAAGAGTATATCCATACAAAGCTGTAAATGGGGTTGTTCCCAAGGCAGTATGGAAACTTGTGTTATACCACCATTCAGCTTGTGATAACCACTTACTCCAATTAGTAGGCTTCATAAAACACATCCCACGCAAATACTGTTCTAAACACTGGTTCAATCTTTCTTTTTGGCCATCAGTTTCTGGGTGGTAGGTTGTAGTGAATAAGGCTTTAGTTCCCAGTAACTTCATTAATTCTGTCCAAAAAAGGCTAGTAAAAATCTTGTCCCTATCTAATAAAGCAATCTTTGGTTATCCATGTAATTTATAAATCTGATCCAAATATATTTTTGCTACATCTGCTGCAGTAAAGGGATGTACCAAGGGTAGAAAATGGGCATACTTGGTAAACTTATCAATAATAACTAGGATACAATTGTACCTGTCAGAAGTGGGAAGACCCTCAATAAAATCCATTGTAACAAATTCCCAAGCTTGTTAGGGAATTAGAAGAGGTTGTATGTAACATCCTTAATACCGGGTTAGTGACTAAATTGTAATATTTTAGAATTTGGTGATTAAAGTGGAATAGTTGAAAAGTTCAATGATTTATTTGAAAATATTACCTTGAAGATGCTAGTAATTATAAAATGTATTAAAGGGAAAAAGGGTCATTTGACCAAGAGATGAATAAAATAATGATATATATATGGATAAGGATGAGATATTTTTCCAGAAATCTCTTCTCATTTTTTCTTCTTCATCTTCTTCTTCCTCCCGTGAAAGCTCCAAGGCAAAGGTAAGATTCCTTGTAGCTGATTATTTGTTAATTTTAAGAGTGGGTTTTGATCCTTAGGTAATATTTAAGCTTATGGAAAGCTTAGATTGTCCTAAAATCAAAAGATGAAGAAGTTATGAAAGATTAAAGAAAATGATTTTTTAAAGGAAATATTGGAAAAGAGTTAATAAGTGAATAATGAGAAGGAATTTGACTTGTTATCAATAAAAATAAGAGATTTATGAAGTTAGAAATGAGTTATAACAAAGCTGAAAATTTAGTAAGATTCTTAATTTTAAGAATCATGATGAGAAATGGAAGATAAATATGGTTTATATAGATATAA